GATCTTGAAAAATTCAAGATGGTAAGTACCCACACTGCTTTAAGAATTTGGAACTGAAACATAAAGAGGAAGACAGAAATAAGAAGTTGGGAACCAGAATAGCTCTGCAAAAAGCAGCAAAAGACCATTTTACCATTTTCTGTTGTTGCTGTGGTGGAATAAGGCATGGACACTGCTAGTGTTGGGGAGTCCCTGTGGTAGAAGGAGTACACTCATGCCTCCCCCACAGAAAGGCCGTATTGGTTTCTACTGCGTCTTGGCTTACTTTTGGAACAGGCTGACCCAACATCATTTGTCATCAAACCCATTGTAGTTTATTCTGCTTGTCCATGGGGTAGTCTCCAACAGACTCACGCTGTCCATGTTCTTTCTATCAGGGCCTGTGTTAAGGTGTCAAGATAGCAATCATCAATAGGCTGGGCTCTGTGGCTCACGCCTGTAATCCCAGCACTTTGGGAGGCCAAGGCGGGCAGATCACCTGAGGTCAGGAGTTTGAGACCAGCCTGGCCAACATGGTGAAACTCTGTCTCTATTAAATACAAAAATTAGCCAGGCTGTGGTGGTGGGTGCCTGTAATCCCAGCTACTCAGAAGGCTGAGGTGTGAGAACTGCTTGAGCCCAGGAGGCGGAGGTTGCAGTGAGCTAAGATCCTGCCACGGCACTCCAGCCTGGACGACAGAGGGAGACCCTGTCTCAAACAAACAAACAAAGAAAAAGACAGCAATCATCAGTGATAATGCATTGTGAGACCTTTGTATCTTGTAAATTCTTTTCTAAAAAATAAATAATAATTAGACCCTAAATCTCAACAAACCACAAAAAAAGGAAAAGTGACATTAATCTGATTGTCAGCTCAGCATTATGTCACAATGAGCTTAGAAAATAAGATCCAGGCAGAAGAGTCACATCACGTAGGGGGCTGACATCAGCAATCTGTCACAATCATTCCTGTGGCCAGGGCCCATGCAGGAGAGTTGTATTACCTGCATGCTGGGCCCAGTGACAGATCACAATTCCTTCTGTGGAAAGAAGCCAAGCGGTAGAGGAGAGTGACATCACACAGGTATTGGGTCAAGCAAATTCTCACAATACTCCCTGAGGAGGTCCCAGGTAGGAGGGTCACCTCATCCAGGTGAGAAAAGCAGAGATATGTCACAATGCCTTCTGTTTATAGGGCTTAAATCAAGGCAGAGAGTCACATAACTTAGAAGCTGGGTTCAGCAATATGTTACAATTGCTTTATGGGGCAGGGTCCAGGCATGAGAAAAGAGTCACACCATTTAGGTGCTTGATCAAGCAGTATGTCACAATCCCCATCATGGACAGGGCCTAGGCAGAGAAGGAGAGTCACATCAACTAGGTGATGGTCCCAGAAACATGTCACAATGAGCCCTGTGAGCAGAGCCCAGGTCAGAGAAGAGTCATATCAAACAGTTAATGGGCCCAGAGATATGTTACAATGCCCTCTGTGGGTAGGGTCCAGAGAGGATACTTACATTCCCTTGAAGCTGGGACCACCAACATATCACAATGCCTTCTGGGGGCAGTGCCAAGGCAAAAGAGTAATATCACCATGGTGCTGCAACCAGCAATATGTCACAATCTTCTTTGCAGGCAGAATCTAGGAAGAAAAAAAGAGTCACATCAGCTAGGTGCTAAGCTCAGTGATATGTCACAATCACCTTTTAGAACACGGAATTGTCAGAAGAGAGTTACATCACCTTGGTGATGTTTGCAGAGGTGTGTCACAATGCCCTCTGCAGGCTGGGGCAAGGCAAAAGAGTTAAATCACCTGGGTTTTGGAGTCAGCAATATGTCACAATGGCCACTATGAGCAGGGCCCAGGAGTGGAGAGTTACATAATGTGGGTTATAGGTGTGGAGCCCAGTGATACGTCACAATGCCCCCTATAAGCAGTGCCAAGGCAGGAGGAGTGACATTACCTGAGTTTAAGGACAAGCAATATATCATATGCCCCCTTTAGACAGTGCCAAGGCAGGAGAAGAGAGTCACATTACCTAGTTGTGGGGTCTAGTGATATGTCACAATCCCATAGGTGGGCTGTCTGAGGCAGAAAAGTCAAATAAGTCAAAGGCTGGGCAGAGGTTTATTTCTCAGTCACACCTGCAGGGAAGTCCAGGGATAAAATGAACAATCCTGTACATTTCCCAGTTATAGGTATGAGAGGTAACACTTCCTGTATGTTGGGTCTCAGTATATGACTCACAATCTCAACAGTGGACTGGAACCAAGCATGACAGCCTCAGTCCCTCTTGCAGACTGTGTACCCTTAGTGAAGTCACAGCCTCACAGCTGTGCTGAATCTTGGTCTGAGAGTCACCAATCCACCTGTGGACCGGATTCACCTATGAGAGGCAATTTTCCAACTTTTGACAACTTCCTCATGTGAGATTCAGAGCCTCAGTGGTGGACTATGTTACTGTTAAAGAATGACAATCTTTACTGTCATCTGGGTGTGCAACAGTCACAATATCACCTCTGTGCCATATTTCATTAGGTGTCAACATTTAGCAAAAATTATAAAACTATAAACCCAGCTCAAGGTAGAATAATCTTTTTGTGATTTTTAATAAATGAGACATTTAATATGGTGTATTAAAAAAGCTACACATTTTGAGTTATCAACAAAATGTCCATGTATTTAACTTAAAGGTTTTTACATAAACACCTAATGTTCTCAAGCTTTAAGATGGTTAACAAATAATGTTAAATTACCTTTGTGTAATATCTCAGCTTTCAGAAGTAGTCTAAATAAATGGCTAAAAATGAAAACATTGGGTACATAGATAAGATACAAAGTAGTATTTTGAAAATCTATTTCAAAATTGTGGAATGGTCCTCATCTATGAAATGCTCACATCTGATGGGCAGTTCGAACATTTTTGCTCCATAGGTTTATATTAAATGTGCCAAAAACATGGGTTCTCATTGAAAAATGAATAATTTTGTCTAATTCAAGAGTTATCTAAAAGTTAACTCAAATTACGAATTTAAAAAGATTATTGTATTCATGCAATTCTCTGTATTGCCTGAAAAATCCTTGTGCTGTTAAGTTCCAGGGATTCAACTCTTGGGTCTAAAAAGTGCACATAATTGTTTTATTTCACATATATATATAAACCCATATGTATACATACATATATACATATACATGTATACACACACATATATACATATATACATATACAGACATACATACACATATATACATATATTTGCATATATATACATATTCACACATATATACACATTCATACATACACATATACATATTTATACATATGTACATCTGTGTGTGTGTATATATATAATTTGAGACAGTCTCGCTCTGTCACCCAGGCTGGAGTCCAGTGGCGCGATCTCAGCTCACTGCAACTTCTGCCTCCCTAGTAGCTGGGACTACAGGCATGTGCCACCATGCCCAGCTAATTTTTGCATTTTTAATAGAGACGGGGTTTCGCCATGTTGGCCAGGCTCACCTCTAACTCCTGACATCAGGTAATCCACCCTCCTCGGCCTCCCAAAGTCCTGGGAATTACAGGCATGAGCCACCGAGCTCAGCCTAATTTTGTATTTTTAGTAGAGATGGGGTTTCACCATGTTGGCCAGGCTGGTCTCGAACTCCTGACCTCAAGTGATCCGCCCACCTCAGCCTCTCAAAGTGCTGGAATTACAGGCACGAGCCACCACACCTGGCCAGTTCTATTTCTTTAAGCCTATACATTTGCACTTGTTGAAAGTATTCGAACATACAATTATACAGTTTCATGCTTTCACTGAGTCTTCATAATGTAGCACTTTAATGATGTAAGCAAGCCAGGAGCTTTGAGCTTTCTGTGCCAGGTAAGGATGCTAAGCCCAGAGAGAAAGAGGCCAAGGCTAGGGTTTGGGGACAGGCAGAACCTGGGTTCATCTGGGTCATGGAGGTTTGCTTGAAGCAGGAATAGGCAGGATTCAGTCAAAATGGTGACTATTAAAAAGTCAAGAAATAAAAAATGCTGGTGAGGCTGTAAAGAAATAGGAATGCTTTTACACTGTTGGTGCGGGTGTAAATTAGTTCAACCATTGTGGAAGACAGTGTGATGATTCCTCAAGGATCTAGAACCAGAAATACCATTTGACCCAGCAATCCCATTACTGGATATATACTCAAAAGGAATATAAATGATTCTAATATAAAGATACATGCACATGTATGTTTATTGCAGCACTATTTACAATAGCAAAGACATGGAACCAACCCAATGCCCATCAATGATAGACTGGATAAAGAAAATGATACATATACACCATAGAATACTATGTAGCCATAAAAATGAGATCATGTTTTTTGCAGGGACATGGATGAATCTGGAAGCCATCATCCTCAGCAAACAAAACACCGCATGTTCTCACTCATAAGTGGGAGTTGAATAGTGAGAACACATGGACACAGGGAGAACAACACACATCAGAGCCTGTCAGGGGAGTCAGGGGCAATGGGAGGAAGAGCATTAGGACAAATACCTAATGCATGTGGGGCTTAAAACCTAGTTGACGGGTTGATCGGTGCACCAAAGCACCATGGCACATGTATACCTATGTAACAAACCTGCACGTTCTGCACATGTATCCAGGAACTTAAAGTAAAATAAGATTTAAAACAAAAAGAAAATGCACTAAGGCCACGAGAAACATTTACTGCCAGGTCAAGGCTGACCACTCTAATTCTGGTGAACACAGAACTAAAGATAAAGTAGCTTCAGCTTAAAAGCTCTCCAACAAGCTTTTGACAACTTCCTCATGTGAGATTCAGAGCCTCAGTAGTGGGCTGTGTTACTGTTAAATTTGAAAGTGCCAGAAATTTTTCTTTACAGCTTTCATCAATTTATGCTATCTATTTTTTTGAAAATGTGACATAGGAATACCATATCATATTTATGTGGGATTTTTTGGCTGGAAAAGTGAACCTATGGGGTAAAAAAGAAAAGCCAAGAGCAGTTACTTTGACTATGATATTAAAAGCACATTTCAGTTTATTTTGGAAGTTTTACTCTACGGATTTAGATACAGTAATAAAAACGTAGATAGACTAAAAATACAAACACACAGGGTTATATAAAGCCTTGTAATAAAGCTTTGAAATAAAACTGAGTCAGATGTGAATTCTCTACTCATCCCAGCCACTCAGTACTTGTAAATCCAACCAGCTAATTAGCTCAGGTCAGTTGGTTTTTCTTTGAGTGGGGGTGGAGGACGGGGAAGGGAACGGAGTCTCCCTCTGTCTCGGAGGCTGGAGTGCAGTGGCGCGATCTCAGCTCACTATAACCTCCACCTCCTGGGTTCAAGCGATTCTCCTGCCTCAGCCCCCTGAGTAGCTGGGATTACAGGCATGGGCCACCACACCTGGCTAATTTTTGTATTTTTAGTAGAGATGGGGTTTCACCATGTTGGCCAGCTGGTCTCAAACTCCTGACTTCAGGTGATCTACCCGCCTAGGCCTCACAAAGCACTGGGATTACAGGAGTGAGCCACCTCGCCCGGCCAGGACAGTTTTTTTAAAATTAGCAAATTATCTCAGCCCAGGTAATTCCAATCAGCAAATTATAAAATTTAATTGTAAATTATAAATTATAATTTAATTATAAAAATTATAAATTATAAAAATAGGTTATTTCAGGCGGGGCGAGGTGGCTCATGCCTGTAATCCCAGCACTTTGGGAGGCCGAGATGGGCGGATCACGAGGTCGGGAGTTCAAGACCAGACTAGCCAAGGTGCACAACCCCGTCTCTACTAAAAAAAAAAAAAAAAAATTAGCGGGGTGTGGTGGCGGGCACCTGTAATCCCAGGGACTCAAGAGGCTGAGGCAGGAGAATGGCTTAAACCCAGGAAGCAGAGGTTGCAGTGAGCTGAAACCGCGCCACTGCCCTCCAGCCTGGGTGACAGAACGAGACTCAGTCTCAAAAAAAACCAAAAAATTAGGTTCTTCCCCCACCCCCTCACCCCCGCCAGAGCAGGAGTGGGCAAGAAGGAAAGTGCACTTGGGAGAAACCTGAGTAGGCACCTGACTTTTTTTTTTTCCTTGAGACAGAGTCTGGCTCTGTCACCCAGGCTGGAGTGCAGTGGCCGGATCTTGGCTTCACTGCAAGCTCCGCCTCCCGGGTTCACGCCATTCTCCTGCCTCAGCCTCCCGGGTAGCTGGGACTACAGGCGCCCGCCACCTCGCCCGGCTAGTTTTTTTTTTTTTTAGTAGAGACGGGGTTTCACTGTGTTAGCCAGGATGGTCTCGATCTCCTGACCTCGTGATCCGCGCGTCTCGGCCTCCCAAAGTGCTGGGATTACAGGCGTGAGCCACCGCGCCCGGCACCTGACTTTTAAAGGGAGTAAAATTAGGTGACTTCAACTAGCAAGTTACCTCAGCCCAGGTGTATCTATTAGCCAATTAGCTCACCTTAGATGATTTCTATCAGCCAATCAACTCAGCCTAGGTGGGTACATCCAGTCAATTATCTAAATAGGAACTGCAGATTCCTCAACTCAGACCCCAAATGCTAGATGTGAATAGCACATTCACACACCTAGAAAGAAAGCAGGACCCTGAAGTGTTAACCTGGACATAA